ACAAACAGCACCTAGTACTGTTACTCGTACCAAGTTTCACCAAGCTTAGAAGCTTCTTGCCAAACAGCACGGAGCGGCATCCGGAAACAGCGGCAAGAAATCAGCAAAGGGTTAGAGAGGACAAAAAAGAGACTGAGTCCTGACCTACTCTATCAGAAAAGCATGGAGGACCGGTTAAGCGTGTTGGATCGTCGGAACTTTTCACCCTCGATCCTCCTGTATCCCTTTCACGGGGAAAAAGAACCAACCAGCGAGAGCCGACGGTTAACAGGGATCCCATGTATACCTCTTAAAAGCCCGAAAGAAAGAAAGAAAGAAAGGAAGAAAGGGAAAAAAGGTAATGCGACGCAATTAAACAATTTGGACGGGCGCACGCGACGCGAGAGACTTCAAAAGTGCCACCACATGTGGGCACGAGATGTAATCAGGAAAGTTAATTGAAGGTCCCACCCCAGGACTCGTTCGTCTATTTCCTTCTCTGTTTCGTGTATATATGTGTGCCATGAAGCTCGAGTGCTTTCCCATTGGGGCCACGCGTGCTTATGCCGCCGGATGCAAAGGCCGAAGCGATTGACTCATTCAACGGGAATAAAAAACACAACAAACTTCTGGCGAGAAAGAACGACGACGACGTTGAGCGCGTTCGGGGGCGTCGGTGGTTTGGAAAAGGAGAGAAGACGGGACGGGAGGGTGAAATCACAGGGAGGGTGGTGTACAGGGTGCTGAGGTAACGAAGAAAAGAGAAAAGCCGCGCGGGCTCGCGCGCGTGACGTCACGAGCAGAAGGCATTCAGATTGAAGAGCGCTCGATGACTCTCGAGATTTGTATTGCCATTAATAACGAGGCGGGGGTGCGTTCCCCTTCCTATCGAGCCAGCAATTGCACCGCGGTACAAGCGTTCACAATGTGTACAACTTGTACCGGCTGTGTACGCACGCCTGCTATACGCGCCACTTATGCTCGACACGACCGACACGCGTGTATCGTGCGCGTCGTAAAGCAATGTGACGTACTCCTTTGACGGCATGGAACTCCCGGAAGTTTCTGTGGTACTCGCGAGAACGAGTGGGAGGACGCGCGGGTTGACGCTACTCGCGTGTGCACGAGCTGCGGAAGAGACTAGTCGATCTTTTGCTTGTTTTGGATATTCGTACGGGTTTTTTAAAGGAGTGGTTAACTTTTGTGATGGGTTAAGTTTGTCGGAGGTAAAAGCGGAAGATTATGGATGTCGATGTATGAAGATGGGCATCACGTTTGGATTATGACACAAGGTGGATGATTACAACAGTTTAGGTGGAATTGGAAGAAAGAAACGCATAGCAACACATAATTCTTATAAAAATCGAGCAATCTTTGTGAAGATATATATACCAATTTGATATGGATATTGCCTTTAGTTTAAATAAATTACATTTGATATGTATCGTAGCTTTATGTTCAATTATTACTTCAGATTAATTCTCCTTTAACTTTGGAAGATATTTCCTTTCGTTATATCAATTACGTTTCCACGAATAAAGGAAACAGAGAAACAATGCTGATATTGATAAGAGAAAATATCAGATAAAACATCAAATCAATAAATCAAAAAAAGATCGAAATCTCGAGACAAATCTACAGATTCACCTGACGTACCAGGTGCACCTTTAACAACAAACTTACAGGTTAATCTCTACTGCAATGAAACTACAGGTCCACCAATCATCTCCTTTAAACTTCAACCTACACGAGATCGTACGAACAAACTACCGCACCAGTACGAACCCCAACCTATGTTTCAGCAAGAACCTGAACCATCCGTTCGACACTCGGCCGCAAATATAATTACCGGCGTTTAAGCCGCTTCTATTGTGCGTGGAACGCTTGACTTGGCGAGCGATGCCAACCGCGAGTGATGACGAACCGCCGTAGGATGCACGAAAATCCAAAGAGGAACGAGAGAGCTCGTGAACGTGGACGTCGAAGGGGTTCCTGGCCACTTCTGGTCACGTGCGTCGTTCTGTCGAGTTGAAATCGATGCCGTCAGAAACCCACGGTCGGTTCTCACGTCGGCCTTTCTTTCCACCGTTCGATGGTCCGTGGCTTCCATCGTGTAATTCCTCGATCTTTAATCTCTTTTTAACACTTCGGCTCAGGGATCTTCGGATGAGGGAGAAAATTGATACAATAGAGCGAAGCACGTTTTTCTAATAACGATCGTGCAATGCGATACTATTTTAAAGAAGTGGTTTATTATATATGATAATCAGACTGCGGATGTTTATGCAAATCCATGCTTTATTGAATTTAATTGAAGAAGTAAAATCTAAGTCTAATTACATAATTCCAAATCTTCATCCATCGATAAAATTCCATGCCATCCATAGATATATGTATTTATTATATGTAATAAAACAGTAGAAGGGTTGTGTTTATACATTGAATAAAAAAAGTAAAACAGTCATTCAGAAACAGCTGATAAGGTAAGGAGCGCAAAAAACTAATTTTCGGAATTTTTGCCTGTTTGCTTCTTTGTCTTTGATGGGGCTTTCTCTATTGTATAAGTTAGTATACGGGGAAGAAAATAGAGTATATTTCATCTTGATCCGTTTGACAGAGAACGAGCCACGATGATTATTGTCTATGTCGTGTATATTCTGGAATCGAACCGTTTTATAATTTAATATTTTTTACTGTGGAGAATAAACTAATCGTTGGTATAAAAAATATGTATAATTTCATTCATATAAAGCATCACACCATGGATAACAAATTCAAGCTGCCAACAGTTAGATCACTCGAAAATTGAAGACAATATTCAATTTTACTTAAACCTAAAAATTTTCATACGATCGACAATGCTCGAGTAACTATAAATTGCCGCTGGAATCGGCTGTTCCTTTCTCCAGCTTATTAACAAGCCTCTCCGCAGGCACAGCGGACAATTTAATTTCGAATCGATGAGCGAACGACAACCCACGGAACCAGGTCGCGGTGCGTGCAAGCGTCACGCCGTATCGCCAGACGGCCGGCATCCATCCTCTCGCTGAACGCCTACGCGTTTCCTGGCGCCGCGTGAACACACGTATAACATGGTTTGCGACATGTGGCTTCGCCCCGAGAAATACCGTTGCCACGGTGTCACAGTAATTAATTTCCCTCAAATTACTCGAGAAACAGCGGAGGAGGAACTTCACTCGTTGCACCGCACGCGCCACCTGCGAGTCAAATTACAATGCGAGAATGCCGGTTAAATGATGAAGCTTAATTGAATTGTAGTTCGCTCCGAACTAATTTGCATCTGCTTTCTGACACGAAACTCGACAGAGGGAGATGAAGCGGTCTAAGCCTTCGAATCGAAGGAATCGTAGAATCAAGACTGCGAATGCTTGCGTAAATGCGCCATTACATGCTGTACCGAGTCGTGAAAAGAAACTTTTGAGTTTGCGCTGAAAAGAAAGGATCAAAGGGATGAAAGGGATAGGAGAATGGACGAGGGATGAGTCTGCAGAAGGATAGGAATGGTAATACCGGTAAGAAGACGGAGAAACTGAAACAGGTTACCAGTGTACCTATATACTGACCATCGTAAATGTTAGGATTTCTACTCATTAAACACATTTATTGGGAAATTCTAACAAATTTTTGTTTCCTTAGTATTACGTATTATAAGTCATATATGATGTGAATGGAATGACAGATTTGAATAAAATAATTAGAAGCATTTTTGGTAATACTAATGTTTACTGTATTAATGTATGTATTTATTTATTTTCATTCACTGGCTGTTTATAACATATTCAGGTATTTGAAGAATTTGGAGACTTCCATAATATACGTTAAAGAAGAATAATAATAAAACGACTGTCTGGTCGAACGTCAAAAATATTGTCTGTTTTTTCGTGGTTAACAGGTTCATCGACAGATTTAACCCATTAACCGATAAAAGTCGGTTTCGAAAAGCAATCCCGCGGCCTGTCGCCAGCGAATTAACGACAGTTCGACAGTTTCACGCGTGGACGATGACGTATTCCTTTCTGCCGCGTGACGTTGCATCTGTATGCCCGCCCTCGTCGATCGTTCCACACGTTCAGCCAGCTTGCGAAATGACGCACGATATTCAAGCATGCGTCGATACGCGGGGTGTATGCGCGATATCCGTCACGCGGAAACGTGTGAAACGACGGCTGCGAGTTTCCACGAAAACAAGCTACCCCGCCTATGAGACGAATCCGCGCCCTTCTTTTTAACGCCAACTTCGTAATGGAATCTCGCGGTTGATCCATGGTCCGTTTGTTCCAAAGATGTCGTCAATGTGATTGATCGCTCAGAAATAAAAAATGAAATGGTGGAATGATATCTTTGTAAAAAAATAATCTGAGATTTTGTAGCACGAGTTACCTTAATTAATTTTCGACATTTTTATAGATAAAAAATTTGTGAGAAGATCGTACGAAGTACATACAATGGCGAGCATATAAGTGAAGAAATTCTTTCGGATAAATTCAACTAATTCTTACGAAAAAATATATTGTATAAAAATGTATTACGATAAGTTTTATTTCTCACATCAAAGTTAAGTTTTATAACTAAATGGATAAGTTTTATAACTCATATCAAAACAAATTTCGAGCTAAATATTGAGATGTACATTTTTCCACCCTTTCCTCCCCATTTTCCCGCTTCCCTTTTCACCCAAAATTCGCACAAACTCGCCTGAAATGTCTCTAAATCCACTCTCACCCAATATTTTTTAAAACCTTGTTCCTCTATCGAATCACCAACCCTCCCTTTATCCTCTATTCCCAAACACTAATAACTTCACGGTTCTCAAAAGACACATCACGATATTCACGTGCCATCGAGTGCAAGTCTCTCGCGAAATAAAAACGAAAAAGCAAAAATGTAAAAACAGAAGAGAAAGAAATATCAGAATCGATGTATGTTCGAGAGAGCCGAATCGCCGGAAGAGGAGTGAAAACGTAGAGTAAGGGGGCGGGGGTGGTTGTCCACGAGGAACGGGGGTCGATTCGGCACGGACGTGTTCCGATCGAAAAGTCAGGGTGGTCGGTCAGGTGAACGATATCCGTGTATATAGTTATATTGCAGGAACCCTAGGAAACGAGCTTACTGGTGCATTCCGGGTTCAGCTCTCCGGCGAAGGCTCCTCGCGCGCGTGCAGGAGCACCCGCGCGTTCGTTCGTCTGACGCTTAATACCAGTTTCACGGCTTGATAAGCCGAAGCGTGTAATTTTGCAGCGGCTCCGGAGTCGGATAAGCACCAGGTTTTCTAGTTAAGTGGACCACAAAATTCGGGGAAGCCTATATAAGGCTTTTCGAGGTAGAAGGCGATCAGTCGAGCCACAGAGCTCTCCGGCACACCATCCGCGATCGAATTGTTCCTCGTTTCTCTGTAGTTTTTCTATCGTTTCTCCGGCTCCATTCAGTTTCCGGTCATTCCTTCTTTTTTTTATCCTTGTGCGATTTGTATTTGGCGTAGGTATCTCTGGAATGTATCTGGAATTTTTAGTTGTTCTTGGTGGATGTAGACGCGTGGAAAATTGTATGCTAGATGGCGCGAGATGGAACTTTCTTCGCAAACGGTGGGTGTGAGTGTGCACGTTTAAGTGTGAGTGTGCACGTAGAAGTTTAAGGTGGATGGATATGAGGTGCGTGATACTTGTTGTCGGAAGAGAGGATTTGCGGTGATTATTTATGTGAGTTGAATGATAATGGTACCTTTCGATTAGGATATCGAGTGATGATGAAAATCTTACTAGGTTTCGATTTGTAGGAATATTTCGTTCTACGGTCGAATAACTCAGAAAGCGTCTACTATTGCTAATATTAAATAGCAGATATTGTCATTGTTATATACTTTATGTATTTTTGTATTCTTATAAAGAAGAAGGATTGCACTAACCGTTTCGATGGATTTTCTTGCTTTATTCTTATTCTCTAAACTTTAGTTAATGCAAATTTTCATTTTGGTGTACTGAATAATTCTGATGTTAATAGAATATAAACAACCTTCAAGACAAATATTTTTATTTTTATTCAATACACTATTTCGCTATCATCTTCGCTCTTTTTATTTGATTAAATATAACATATTATGTTATGTATTTTCTAAATCCAATTCAAAATTGTGAATTCCAAAGTCACAATTCCAACTTCGTAGTCTTTGAGCCATATACAAAACAACAATCCAATATTCTCTTACTTTGATAAATCAAATAATTTCATCGTCAGTAAAATAAAAATAGACATCCTGCAATTCGAAAGCTGCGCGCTATAAAATTTCTGAATAGTAACCAACGCTTTGTCTTCTGAATCTTATGCATCGTGTAGAATTCATTAAACGCATATTCATGGATATAATATCATTTATCGAACAGCAATTTGTTCTGTGGTATCGTTGCTGCGCAAACAAAGTGTCGGGCTCGCTCGATGGAAAAAGTATTTACTCGCTAAAGACAAGCAAATTTAGTTGAGGCTTTTTTGCGTTTTGCCATCGTCGGTGATTTGTCAGCGGACGATTTTCAGCTTGCTACATAGGCCAGGCCAAATATCCCTGTTTACGCACGCTCGACGCGATAATGCTTGTAAATAATGGTGGAAGTTTGTTGACTTCCCATTTGCCGATCGACGCTCGACGCGCGAATAACTTTGTCCGTCGCTACGCTGTTCTCCCCCAATTTGAAAAGCTGAAATTCAGACCGGGGTTAAAATGTTTACGCGGCCAAGGGAGAATTTGGATGCTCGAAATAAACATTTTTTAAGGTTAAGGGTAGTAAATACAGCTTCTAGAAGATCAATGATTGTTTCCAATAATATACTTGTTAAAACCTTGAACATTTTTATGACGGCCCTTTAACATGTGTATTACTTACACTAAATATTTTGCAATTGCTATATCCATTTTCAGATTGTTTTCAAATTTTATCAATATATTCGAAACAGTCGAGTGCCGTTAAAATGCTAATAAAATTTCTAATTGAGATATTTCAATGTATACATTTCCTAGTAAAGGTCAATCCGATCAACCCCACTTTTCATTAATTTCTTAATTTCACTACACAAGTACATGATTAATAATCATTTCTGAAAACAAATAATTCACTTCCACAAATTCATTCGCATGCACAATACGAATACGACAGAAATACAATAATTATATATAAATATAAAAAAAATTGTAGCCTTTCCAGTCGAAAACCTGACTCTTAAAACTCAGTCAGACAACCAATTAGCAAAGAGAGGATCCTAACCTTACAGAGGGCTGAAAGCTCGCTTACAACTCAGTTCGAGCTCCAAAAACGGAAAATCGCGAGCGAGACGGTGAAAGATAAAAACGAAGACGCTTGGTCGACGGCAAAAGGAATGCCGAGGAGAGGCACCGAAGAGAGGAGAGACGGAACGGACGGCGAGAGAGCAACCTCGCCATACACTCGTATAAAGAAGAAGGGCAAAACGAGAGGAGCATCATATGGAAAAGAGGGAGGACGGGTTAAGGAGGTAGCGCGGGAAGAAGGTTCGTACAGCCGAATCGAGGATGTAGACAGGAAGGATGTTCGTCGAGTGCCATCGACTTAACTCGTGGTATGGCACAGCGAGCACGAGCCCATCCTCTTCGGGGCTCTGAAGAGAGCCAAGCCGGCATAATAAGCTTTGTGCGCCGACTGTCGACGTCGGATTCCCACTCACGAAGGGCTGAAGAGGCCAGCCGGAAGCGGCTGCATCGGCAGCAGTAGCGACAACGCCGAGGAGCACACCGGTAACAGAAACCTTTGCCTGCGCGGGAGTTTGCCCATACGCGAGAACATCCGAAGAATCGAGCATCTGCTTGTGAAACCAGTCCACCTCTCACGGCGAATGCTCCCGCCCTACGTAGGTATGTACATGTTCCGCTGAAAAATCTAGAATGTTAATTACCAGCCTACATTCTGCTCCGACGATCTTTACGTTCAGTAAGATCTACTCCTCTTAGCTGGTGGAGATCGTGTACTGTCAGCCCTTTGCCTGGCCCACTTTCTCCCTCTTGGAAACACCATCTCTTGAAAGTGGAAATTGTTCTTCTCTCTTCCGGGATCTTGAGTCAAGTTTGGAAACTTGATAGGTTCGATTTAGGACAGCGAGGACTTGGATCGAGGTCTGATTGATTCTCGGGGTAGAATGGTTTGCTTTATGCGAGAATGGGGTTAAAGGATTGGTGTAATCGGGGTAGGTAATGATTCTGAATCGACGAGAGAGAAGCAGAAGATCATATATATTATATATTATAACTAGTGGATTTTACTTTGGATATTTTATATACTTTTGTACATTATCCAATATAAATTTCTCAGTAATGCGTAAATAGCTGCAGTCTGATCGGACACAAGTCCAATCTAATCTCATCTAATCCTATTAATGCAACACCAAACCTGTCAGTGTCATATTAAATTTTTAACTTTAATACAATCCTTCGTTCACTCAAGAATTTCACGTAAGAAATTTTACTTGATTTCACATCAGAAGAAAAAATATCTTATCGTGTTAACGATAAAATAGTAGTAATCTCGTGACACGAATAAAACTACGTGCGCTGACTTTGGCCGTGAATATGTGTCTACGGCACGTTAGGGTTGTAAGTGGGTTAAAGGTACTGGTTGTTTAGAGGGTAAAGTGCATAGTTTGCCAGCGCTCGGAAACAACGGAGAGTGGATCGCCTAACGAAGTGTGTTTGCCGGCGGAGACCACGGGAACGAAATATGGTGGGGATGATCCGGGCCAAAGAAAACACAATCCACACGAAATCGTTAACAGTTCGTCCGTTCTTCTTCTCTCTCTTGTTCGTTCAATTTTGAAACTCACCCTCCACGATGATTAAGAGCAACAGCGTTGTATAAATCGCGGCTGGAGTACGAAAAAGGTTATCGACCAATCGTTAGAAAAAGGATTTTCTAGAGGCTGTTTTTTTATTTCTGATTGGTTTCTCAAAATATTTGGTTATATCTTATTTATAGTTACTGCGAATGTTTATGAATTTCTAAGAAATTACTTACTTCTATGACGTCTCACAAATAATATTGAATTTCAATATAATCCAATTCTCCGTTAGTCGATAAATTCCGTAAGAAAGTATTTCTAAGTTACATAATCAAAAACCTCGTCAAATCTCATCATCCTAATCCAAACTTTCTCTTAAACCTCTCCACGATCTCAAAAATCCACCAACCTATTCTCAGCACGATACTTCCAGCGACATCCATGAGACAATTCAAGAAAGTCCTAAGCCGATCTAAGGGAAAAAGCCAGCGAGCCTTAGTTAGACAGCGCGCGCTTTTCTACGATCCGGGTTAACCAGGAAAGCAGCAGGGCCGACCGCTAATCCGACGTGCAACGATTAAAGCTGCGTTGGTGGTATCGCTGTCGGTGATTTTCACGGAGCCCAATGCTCGGACACGATATCATTCCCACCCCCCATCCCTCACCCCCGCCTC